CGAGAAAATTCGTTTCACCAGAATATCTTATTAGGATAAATACAACAAGTGCAGGTGAAATAAAACAAATATTTAAGTCATTACCAACTTTCTATTGTGAAATATTCAGTACATTTAACGATTGCAAAAATAAAATAAACGATATAAGGGAGATAACCGATAATGAAATATTGTCTCTACCTATATGGTTGAACAACCTGGTTCAATTTAATGATAAATGTCTTTTCTACACCAACTGGATAAAAAGTGGGATCTTATATATTAAGGACCTTTTGACGAAAACGGAAACTTCCATGACATTAATTATTTTCAAAATATTCTTGTAAACAAATCCAACTTAATCAGTGAATACAATATTTTGAAAAAAGTTATTAAACCTATACAAAAACATCATGATGTTTCAAAAGGAGCCTATATAAACATAAAAAATCAAACGATGATTTTGTTAGAAAATAAACAAAGATTACCGATAAACCTGATAAGTAGCAAACTTATTTATGACATTTTTCTGAAGAAAACTTTCATAAAACCTTACTCCGAAAAATTTTGGTCGAGAAGCTTTAACTTTAACTTTGAGGAAAACAAGATACACATCTATCAATCAAAAATTACGAAAATAAAAAATAAACAATTAGCAGAATTTAACTATAAGCTTTTACAAAATCTACTTAATAATAACAAAAATGTTCACAAATGGAATAGAAATGTATCGAATAAATGTCCATTTTGTGAATCACTTGAAGATACAAAACACCAAATTTTTGATTGTAGAAATGTAGAAACGATTTGGGCAAATCTAGAAAACCGTCTGAATTTGAATATAAAATGGAAAAATATTGTATTGGGTTTTTTCTATGAAGAAAACAAAACTACTATCTCACTGAATTATCTATTATCTTACATAGCATTTTTTATATACAAGATAAAAATGAAGCTAAGATATGAGAACAGAGAAGAAAATATAAATGAGATTTTGTATTATGTAAAGGCAAACCTAATGTATCAATATGAAATTTATAAACCAGAAGTCTCTGTCGAGACTGAAGCTCTACTGGTTTGTACAGTTGTACTTATAGCAAAGGAAGAGGAAAGTACTTAAGCAGTTGGGAATTGAAACTTTACACTAGCAAAAAAGAGAATAATGATCCTTGAATAAGTCTTTTTATGTTCTTAGTGTAGTTTACTTGCATGCCACATTATATTATATTATAATCAGATTAAAACTGAATTTGAAGTAGCATTGGAGTAGCATTTTGAAAGAATTTCACAGAAATTTCTATTTTTAGTAACAACGCCAACACCGTTCATCGAAATCAAAAACCGATACATAGAATTATGTATCTTAGTGTAGTCTACTTATATGCCAAGTTATATTGAAATCAGACCAAAACTGTAGGAGGTGTAGCATTTTGAAAGAATTTTACAGAAATTTCTATTTTTAGTAACAACGCCGACACCGTTTGTTGAAATCATAAATCGATATATAGAATTATGTATCTTAGTGTAGTCTACTTGTGTGCCAAGTTATACTGAAATCAGACCAAAACTGTAGGAGGAGTAGCATTTTGAAAGAATTTTACAGAAATTTCTATTTTTAGTAACAACGCCAACACTATTCTTCGAAATCAAAAACCGATACACAGAATTATGTATCTTAGTGTAGTCTACTTGTGTGCCAAGTTATATTGAAATCAGACCAAATTTGTAGGAGGAGTAGCATTTTGAAAGAATTTCACAGAAATTTCTATTTTTAGTAACAACGCTAACACTGTTCATCGAAATCAAAAACCGATACACAGAATTATGTATCTTAATGTAGTCTACTTGTGTGCCAAGTTATATTGAAATCAGACCAAATTTGTAGGAGGAGTAGCATTTTGAAAGAATTTCACAGAAATTTCTATTTTTAGTAACAACGCCAACACTGTTCGTCGAAATCAAAAACCGATACACAGAATTATGTATCTTAGTATAGTCTACTTATATGCCAAGTTATATTGAAATCAGACCAAAACTGTAGGAGGAGTAGCATTTTGAAAGAATTTCACAGAAATTTCTATTTTTAGTAACAACGCCAACACCGTTCGTCGAAATCAAAAACCGATACACAGAATTATGTATCTTAATGTAGTCTACTTGTGTGCCAAGTTATATTGAAATCAGATCAAAACTGTAGGAGGAGTAGCATTTTGAAAAAATGTTTACAGACAGACAGACAGACAGACAGACGGACAGACGGACGGACGCCGGACGCATTACTATCGCATAAGCTCTTCTGGTCTCTGACCAGTAGAGCTAAAAATTAGATGTAAACTTTATATATAAATGGTTTTATGATATTTCAATAGCTTTGTGATAATAATAGTCTGACTATCTGAAGGGGTCTGTCCTTCAGTAGTGCTGCCAGGTGGGGGTAATTATTATGGACTCTGTGAGGTGAAAGATATACCCCCATGGCAGCGAGGCTTAATTCTTATTATTTATTTATATATTTTCATATATTCTTGTAAAAACAAATACTTACATATGTTTATAAGTATCTTTATGATTCATATTCTATATGATTAATCTATAAATGTCTATGTCTTTGTATTTATATAATTATATAATTTTATACATATACATATATTAAATATACATATCTATGATAACATTTATATCCGATCCAATGGGCCCCTGGCACCATTGGTGAGGAGTAGCCGGGAATATCTTCGGATATATTATCCCAGTTTATATTGTAGTGGAAAATAAAGTTTGGAGAAAAAAAAAAAAAAAAAAAAAAAAAAAAAAAAAAAGAGGCCCACGGGCCTTATAGGTCACCTGAGCATTATGCAACAACTTTCCAGTTACAGTGTATTGAATTTGATTCATGTTTTAAGCCAGATGCTATATGGCATTCACAATTTTGAAAGGGCACCATTGATCATCATAACAATAAACTTAACAGTTGCTTAGCATGGTTACTGAATACCCATATGCAGGGTAGTGGAACAAAAATGCACTCCAACTAATCAGTAATATTCAGCAATAATCAGTAGTGCCCCTAACACGGTGACATAAACCCCTGAACCTAGGTCCAAACATTGCACAAATTTTTAAAAGGCACCCTTAAAATTGCCTATCAAAAAAATAAATAAATGTTTTATAAATACAAAGGAGCAGATTTCAAACAATAAATTCATTTTAAGTATATAAGTAGAGCCCCCCCCCCCCCCCCCCCCCCGCCCCTGACACTGGGGCCTTAAAATACACAATTCTGCAAGATTAGGGCCCTTGCTCATCATAACTATATAGGTAGTTCATCTACTTCATTCCCAGAGACAGAGAAGAAAATTTTCAAAGATTTAATGAATTTTCACTATGTAATCAATAGAACCCCCCCCCCCCCCCAACACCAGATCCCTTGACCCTGGGGCCATAAAATTCACAATTTTGGTTGAGGCACTCCAGCTCATCATTACTATGCACTTAGTAAGTTTATTTAATACCTAGGAGCAGAGAAGAAGATTTTCAAAGAATTCATGTATTTTCACCATATAATCAATAGAGCCCCCCCCCCCCAACACCAGATCCCTTGACCCTGGGGCCATAAAATTCACAATTTTGGTTGAGGACACTCCAGCTCATCATAACTATGCACTTATTTAGTTTAATTAATACCTAGGAGCAGAGAAGAAGATTTTCAAAGAATTCATGTATTTTCACTATATAATCAATAGAGCCCCCCCCCCCCCAAACACCAGAACCCTTGACCCTGGGGCCATAAAATTCACAATTTTGATAGAGGCACTCTTTCTCATTATAACTCTGCACTTAGTTAGTTTATTTAATACCTAGGAGCAGAGAAGAAGATTTTCAAAGAATTCATGTATTTTCACCATATAATCAATAGAGCCTCTCCCCCCAACACCAGAACCCTTGACCCTGGGGCCATAAAATTCATAATTTTGGTAGAGGCACTCTTCCTCATCATAACTATGTATTTAGTTGGTTTATTTAATACACAGGAGCAGAGAAGAAGATTTTCAAAGAAATAATGCATTTTCACTGTATACTTATTTAGCCCCGCCCTAGCACTAGAACCCCTGACCCCAGGGCCATGAATTTCACAATTTTGGTAGATGACTCAATGCTGATTACAATCATGCAAATAGTTTGACTGCTTGATGTCCAGGAGTAAAGAAGAAGATTTTTAAAGATTGCATTAATTTTAGTGGTTTTGGCCCCACCCCTCAGGCCCCAGGGGGGCAGGGATCATGAAATTCACAATTTTTGTTCCCCTTCACCCATAGATGCTTTGTGCCAAATTTGGCTGAAATTGGTTCAGTGGTTGCAGAGAAGAAGCCGAAAATGTTCAAATGTTAACACACGACGGACGACGCACGACGACGGACGAAAACGGATAGCAATAGGTCACCTGAGTTTACTCAGGTGACCTAAAAATGAATGGAAACTGCAAATAATTGGAATTTTTCTAAGTCCAAGGGGCATAACTCTGTCGAAAATGGCGCGACCGTACCCAAAACAGAACTTGATTTATCTGTATACTAAATTTCATTTCAGTATGTGCAACCTCTGCAAAGAAAATGAACGGAAACTGCAAATAATTGGAATTTTTTTAAGTCCAAGGGGCATAACTCTGTCGAAAATGGCGCGACCGTACCCAAAACAGAACTTGATTTATCTGTATACTAAATTTCATTTCAGTATGTGCAACCTCTGCAAAGAAAATGAACGGAAACTGCAAATAATTGGAATTTTCCTAAGTCCAAGGGGCATAACTCTGTCAAAAATGGTGCGATCGTACCCAAAACAGAACTTGACCTAGATATTCATCTGAAATATCTGTATACCAAATTTCATTTCAGTATGTGCAACGGTTGTGAAGAAAATGAACGGAAACTAAGTGGACTGACAGACAGACCGACGGACAGCAGCAAAACAATATGCCCTCCCTTCTTTGAAGGGGGCATAAAATTTTACAATTTTACAAGCAATACCTTCTTTTTTGGCTGGTTCTAGAGATGCCAGGGGTTCTTTACCAAAAGGCAGGACAATATAGAAGTGTGAGGGGTTTAAGATGGTGGACACCTCACAGGCAATCCAGGATCCCGGGTCAGGAAGTTCATCCTGGTGGTACTCCTCCATGACATCCCCGTACACATAGTCCACATCTCCTGTCAGGGCACCTGTTGTCAGCAAAATATATCAGTTAGCATTCAGTACATCAGTGACCATTCGGTTTACTTATTCATGAAGGTAGATTCTTTCTTACCAAAACAGCTGTGGTAAAGCAAAATAGTTGCTGTTTATGGCATCTTAAAAATTATTATTTTATGCCAAAACAAGAAAAATAAGTTAGAAGTCAAACTGCTTCTCAATGAATGTCAGCCCCAATATCCTCTCCTGATCCCAAAATGTTTGAGATTGAAAAGTTTGTCTATATTTATTTTCAATGACATCAAGTCAGAGAGAAATGCCCAGAGGTAAAGTTTGAAAAGTGGGAAGCACTTTTCAATTTTATAAAACGAATTAACAAACAAGAGGCCCAGGGGCCACAGCGCTCACCTGAGCGCATCGGCTAAGAAAAGCACATATCAGATCAGAACTAAAAATTTACTGGGGGGGGGGGGGGGGGGGGGCTTGAATTTGTAACCCCCCAGGGGGTCATGATTTGAACAAACTAGAATCTACAATATCTGATGATTCCCTATAAATATCACTAAGCATGGCTTTGAAGTACTTGAAAAGAAGATTTTAAAAGGTTTCCCTATATATTCCTATTTAAAACTTTTATCGGCCATTTGGTGCCACCCTACCCCAGGGGGTCATGATTTGAAGAAACTTGAATCTACACTACCTGGGGATGATTCCACAAGAGTTTCATCTTTCCTGTCTCAATGGTTCTTAAGAAGAAGATTTTTCCTATATATTCCTATGTAAAAATTTGATTGGCCATTTTGGCCCCACCCTTCCCCCAGGGGTCATGATTTGAACAAACTTGAATCTACACTACCTGAGGATGATTCCATTTGAGTTTCATCTTTCCTGGCCAAGTGGTTCTTGAGAAGAAGATTTTTAAAGATTTTTCCTATATCTTCCTATGTAAAAATTTGATCAGCCATATTGGCCCCACCCTACCCCCGGGGGTCATGATTTGAAGAAACTTGAATTAACACTACCTGAGGATGATTCCACATGAGTTTCATCTTTCCTGGCCAAGTGGTTCTTGAGAAGAAAATATTTAAAGATTTTTCCTATATATTCCTATGTTAAACTTTGATTGGCCATTTTGGCCCCACCCTACCCCCGGGGGTCATGATTTGAACAAACTTGAATTTACACAACCTGAAGATGATTCCACCTGAGATTCATCTTTCCTGGCCCAGTGGTTCTTGAGAAGAAGATTTTTAAAGATTTTTCCCATGTATTCCTATGTAAAATTTTGATCGCCATTTTGGCCCCACCCTAACCCCGGGGGTCATGATTTCTACAAACTTGAATCTACACTACCTGAGGATGATTCCACATGAGTTTCATCTTTCCTGGCCCAGTGGTTCTTGAGAAGAAGATTTTTTAAAAATGCCATTAATTTTTCTCTAATTCATAATTATCTCCCCTTGGAAAAGGGCGTGGCCCTTCATTTGAACAAACTTGAGTCCCCTTTACCCAAGGATACTTTGTAGCAAGTTTGGTTGAAATTGGCCCAGTTGTTCTTGAGAAGAAGATGAAAATGTGAAAAGTTTACGACGACGACGACGACAGACAACGGACAAATTTTGATCAGAAAAGCTCACTTGAGCTTTTGGCTCAGGTGAGCTAAAAAAGTCTACATATAGCTCTAAGGGTGTTATATGGAGAATAAAGTAGCCTGTCATAAGACAAATCTTAAAGAAGACCACCTAATTACTCACTTGACAATTAGCATTGCTGCAACTTGGTTAAAACTGGAACTATTAACAATTTTAATGTCTTTTTCACAAAGACACACATCTCACCTTCTGCAACAATGACATGTCTGTATGGACACTTATCCCCTCGCCAGCACTTGTTCTTTTGGTAAAATCTACAAATCCTCTTTTCATCTTGGGCCTCTGATCAATACAAGAAAATAAACATGACACAAAAGAATGCTATAAAATAAACTTGCAAGTTTCTCTGATCTAGAACAATGAAGACGGTCCTTACTGATGCCCACGGTGGCTACTCCGGCGTCGTCCACGTCCACCCTGTAGGAGTTCCTGACGTCCATGTAATCCTCCAACATCGGGTTCCAGTCCTGTATATCATCTGGAGAGGTCACTGAAAACAGTACAGCATAGTACTACAGGTACATACATGTAGTACTACATAGTAACAATAATGTTATCAATATCACCAATGAGCTTAGTGTGGTTAGTTTGTACTACTGTTTATTGAAATCACTCCAAAATTATTGAAGGAAATACATTTGGAAGGAATTTAAGTGAAATTTCTATTTTTAGGTCACCACAGCAAGAATGTTGAAATAAACAACAACGTATTAAAGATTTATATTTCTCAGTGCAGTTTAGTTTTATTGAAATCAGAATCAAAACTGCAGATACATGTATTACATTTTGAAATAATTTCAGTTTTTTTTTTTTGTAAACCATGGACAACTCCATTAGCTAAAATCAAATAAGAATGCATTCTTATGCAATCTGATTGTGTACCAAGTAGCATTTTGCAAAACTGAATGCTAGCCTCAAATATAAAACCACAACTTACTATCTGGTGGTTCACTTGTTGGGGTATCTTTCGATGGATTTTCACCATTTGGTGTTTCATCTGCAGTAGTATCCTTTGATGGATTTTCCACAGCACACAGCCTGGCCAGACCCAGTCTGATGAGGTCCATATTGACACACACATCCTCCTCCTCCTTAGAGGTATCTACCAACAACACTTGTAACGGGGGCATCTCTACCACTACACGAGGGTGACTGCAAATTCAAGAACAAATAATATCAAGTTTGACATACTTTATCCTTCATATATATAAAATCCACATAATTTTCAATAATTCTAATTTTTAAAATAGAATGTCTTTTATTTTCTGTCTCACACTGGAGGTTTTATGTATAGATGCACTGAAAGATGTGTACTGTACCACTTACTTTTCCAGCATTTTCTGAATATCTCCTCCATCCACAATAATCATACTCATGGCCGTATCAAACCCTGTGATAGAGATGAACTTCTCCACCGCCTCCTTTGTCCACTGTACCTCCTTCTTGGGAGATCCTCTGGGGACTGTGGGTTGGATGTAGGCCAGGCTGACGTGGACAGCCAGAGCGGGGAGATCCGTGTACTGCTGGGGTAGGGGGAACACCCTGCGTTTGGGGACGACTTCATGATTACCAAAGTCTATGTAAAATACATGAACTTTTCCAACATATTCTGGATATTCTAATGTTTTATTGGCCTTGGAGGGAGAGGTCATCTCTAGCTGGGTTATCAGTCCTCTGTAATACTGATTGTCCTCAGTAAACAAGACACAACATAAATCTCCCACAGAGGGCTGGAAAGATTTGCTCATCTTCTGTAGCTGCTTCCGAGACATCTGCTCCATTGTCTTATTCAGACTAAGATGCAAATGATCAATAGTTTTAGCACTCAATTCGGACACAAGATGGACATAAAAATTGGATGGAGATTCAACATGAGACAGCATCACCATAAGACCGGGGATGTCTACATTAATGTTAGAGGGGAGATTGACTGACTTGTCTACAGTGTACGTCGTAGTCAGACACTCTGACTCTGACAATGACTTTACTGACACAGAATCCTCGGCCACGTTCTGTATCTTGACTTCTGTGATATTCTGAGCAGATTCCTGTACTGTCCTCTTGTCCTGCGTCTTCTCCACATTAAGATTGTTATGGACATTGTCTCTATCTCTGGGAGTAGAACACACAGGTCCAGCGGAATCAGAAGCCTCCTCCACATGATCTTTGTCGCGCTGTTTCTTTACTGTGGACTTTGATACCTCCTTTGAATTAACCTCTTCTTTTTTGGACAGTTTGTCTTGGGACTTGTCCTGGGAGTCTTTCTGTTTCTGTTTAGCCCTGGCTTCCCTTTTTTCCTTCTCGGCTTTAGTCTTGCGCTCTCTCTCGTCCCTAGTAGAAGACTTGGGTAAGCGTGGTACACTGTGTGTACTATCAGACAAAGTCTCCACACTGCTCCCTATGTTAAACTTAGACTTACTCTCTACAGAGGTTGTGTGGTCTTTATTTGGTTTCCTGCAGTCCTCACTGTCACTTGATGTCACACCTTTTCCATCCTTTCTCAGACTGTCTTTTAGTTCCTCCTTTACAGGAGAGCAGTTTAACAACTGAAGCTGCTCCTCCAATGATATGGATTTTGCCAAACCCTGTAAAAATATAAATGCCTCTTTTGCATGAAATGTACCAATTATAAGGTTTTGCATCAATAAGGCAATTTACAAGTGTCCTCATTTTCAAAATATCAAATACTGTAAGTGTACATAAATTGGCGTATTCAAAATTAGTAGAATCATTAATGCCTTGTCTTTTCTTAGTACAGTAAAACTCAGATATAACGAACTCACTGGGACCTATGAAATTACTTTGCTGTATCCGAAATTTGTTATAATCCGTGTAAGGAATTCCTTAAATTTATATACCTGGGGATCCATAACTCAGCTATATCTATGAATTCGCAATATCTGTGTTCGTACTAAACGAGTTTCACTGTAAATGATTTTCTAGTGGTATTCATGAATCAGCACATTCTTGTCCGCGCCAAAGCCACTATGAAGCCCGCTTTTCTTAGTACACATACAGTATATTTTAATATTTTGATATAAATATAGAACATTTCAAACCTTTTCAATCATGTATTCATGGATACTGATTTGCTTCGGTCCTGGCTGCAGGACAATATTTCCATCCTTTATAATCTGTTCTGGGATATTAAAAAATAATCCAACTACAGAGGGAAGGGATGGGTCATC